TGTATAGTTAATTGTAAATTAAAACTATATATTATGAGAGATATTATTTGAATGAGATTCAAATAAAATTAATATGAATAAGATTCATATTAAAATTATAGGTTAAAAATAATGTGCATAAGATGTACATTAAAACTATAGGTTATACGAGAGAAATGTTTTAGAATATGATTCTAATTTTATAAATAATTAAGTGTTAATTATTTATGTATATATATATTTATTAATTATTAATTAGATTAATAATTAATTATATTTATTTATTAATTAATTTGATTAATTAATTATATATATATATATATATTAATTATGATATATATATATTTATATATATATATTATATATTATTATTTATTATTATTATTATTATTAATATTATTATTATTATTATTAATATTATTATTTGCACGTCACCCTTCTTCTTCTCCAAGTGTTGGAGAATGCAAGAGGAAGTGTTACAGATGAAGAAAAAAAAATCTCTCATCCAATTTCTCTCAAAACTCTCTCAATCTCTCCCTCTCTTCGATCAAGGTGCTACCATAAACACGATCCCGAGACCCAAGAGGATAGCGAGGAAGACGTAGTGGTGGTGTTCGTGGGAAACTGTAGAAGAAAAGTTCGTCAAAGGTATTTGGTTTCCCCTGTATTTTCCTTCTTTCTATTTCGGTTTTGTGTCCCAAAAATCAGCAACGAAGATCTGCTTCCGCTCCGGGATTCACATCCCTTTAGCTCTCAGATAGGCTTGCTGACTTCGCTCTATGGCTGCCACAACTCCTGCAATGGAGCTGAGTTGCTGCAGTAGGCTAGCTTGCGTATGAGAGACTTCTTTGAGCGCAAAAACTATATTCCCTCATCACTTGTTGTGGTCTATGGCCTTTAACTACTCAATCGCCGGTTCATTGATCATTCCTTTGTCCTTCAGCGTTTGGTCTGTGTCTTCCATCTTGACCCCCAATAAAATGTAAAGCTCTGTGATCGGATTTGGGAAATATAGATTGCCCTGCTTTCTCTTCTCAACCCCTGCAATTTCCCTCTCAATAAGCTGTCCCACATCGATGCTAAGCAGTTCCATAATGCAGAGCATGAGGAGCATCCTTTCCTTCGTGATGGAGGTATCATGCGTTGTGGGCATGAGCTTACTCTTCAACAGATGATTCCAGAAATTGGCTTCAGGCTTAAGGTAGACTGGAAGAAATGTGTGTGATACTCTTGTTGATAGCTGCCCCCTTGAGCCTTCCACTTCAATGCATCTGATTGCCCTATTTAGTTGCTCCTTAGAGGGAGCAACCTCATCTCATTAAAAGTAGCGTGATAGTAGTTAGGGAGACTTTCGAACCTTTCTGATGCTGCATCATCAACAAATCAGACGAACTCTGATGGTTCTGCAGCAACTTTCACTTTTCCTTTTTTCTTCGCTTGCATGTCAACCTTCTGCTTTTGCTTCTTCCCTTTCTCAAATTCTGCAATTGGAGAGAGCTTCCTCTTTCTCTGTGATTTTCTTGGAAGCACAGGGGCAACTTCTTCCTCTTCTTCCCTTTCTGTCTCGTCTTGCTCTTCTTCAGCCAGAGCCCCTTCTTCACTCTCCTTTTCATGGGTTGCATTGCCTTCTCTCAAGCACTCTTCATCACTGTCCACTCCTTCATTTTGACTGTCCACTTGAGAAAGCTCTTTTATAAATTCAGCAACTCTGCGTCTAGTCTCAAACAAAAGTTCTTCCTCTCCTTCCATTTCTAAAATGACAGGAGGGACTTCTTCGATCTGAGCATGTTGGGCTTCCTCAGATGTTTTTTTTCCTGATCACGCTGCTCTGCACTTCTGTTTCAACTGGTAGCCTCTTGCTTTTCGCTGTTTTCTTCCTCTTTTGGCTGCCAGTTTCTTCTTAGGCGGGGAAGGGATTTCTTTTTCTGGGTCGGTTTCTTCGGGTAACGTGTCAGGTTGGGGGGAGACTTCTCTAGAGCTTTTTCTGGTGATTTTTTCGGCGAAAGGGATGGTGTCAGGTCTTGGGGGGATAGTTTTCTTACCCTTCCTTGCTTTCGCTTTAACCCGAGGCATATTGGGATGACAATGCTAACGAATTGTCGATGCTGCAGGGAGCCTAGGGCTGAGATGAAGGAAAAAGACAGGGCGCTAAAAGGAAAAGGGAGAGAGGGGAAAGAATGTTAGCGCATAATTAGGGTTTCAACTTGTGGGCGATGATGAATTTCTCCAAAATCGATTTTCTTAAATACCCACACCAAAAAATCTTCTAATTAATGCACAAATAATGCCCAACTACCCTCTTAATCACTTTCCCTTCTTTTTTAGAGTTTTTGAATTTTAAAAACTCCCACCCGTTTTATCTTTCCTAAAAAAGGGCGCCCCATTACTTCCCAAAAATGGGTGGAAAATAATGTCCTAAAGAAAATTTTGGTTTTATAACCTGATTTCTTTTCTGACGGATTTACTTGCTGCGAGCAATGATTACTTTTCTCTTTCCTCCAACTCCTCTTCGTCTTTTAAATCCAACTTTATTTTTCATAACCCCTTATTTATGCTCCAGAATCAACAAAGTTGATCGCATTTTTCTCAACTTCATCCTTTCTGCACTTATATTTTTAGTTGCTAAATAGGAGTGTCTTTCCTTTGCTTGATATAAAAAAATCAAACAAAACTACCTCAAGTTAAAACCTTCGTAACTGCTACTAAGAACTTTTAAATCTACTTAACAAGAATTAAACTAAAAGAGAGGGAAAAACAAATAGTCAAGAATTCTTCCCCTTTTTATTTTCATCTGGTACATCCTTTAAGTTGACCTCAGTTAGTGGGAATCCATCTTCCTCACCACCTCTCTTCCCCAGTAGTGCTTCAATCTTTGCTCATTCACTATGAATTCCCTTTTTGTGTCTTCTTCGTTGACAATTACAGCTCCATAGGGGTAGACCTTCACCACTGTAAACGGGCCTGACCACCTTGATATTAGCTTTCCAGGAAACAATTTCAACCTTGAGTTGAATAACAATACTTTTTGTCCTGCCTCAAATGTTCTTTGTTTTATCCTTCTGTAATGCCAAACTTTGGTCTTCTCTTTATAAGCCTTCGTATTCTCATAGGCATCTCTTCTAAATTCATCCAATTCTAGTAGTTGAAACTTCCTTACTTCTCCCACTACTGATAGATCTATATTTAGCCTTTTGACAACCCAAAATACATTTTGTTCCAGTTCAAGTGGTAGATGGCAGCCTTCCCAAAGACTAGTTTATATGGGGAGGTTCCTATTGGAGTCTTGTAGGCTGTCCTATATGCCCATAGTGTGTCGTCCAACTTGAAAGGCCAATATTTTCTGCTGCTATGTACCATTTTCTCTAAAATTCCCTTAATTTCTCTGTTTGATATCTCTGCTTGGCCGTTTGTTTGAGGGTGGTATGCGGTGGACACTTTATGCTTTATATTGTATTTCACCAACAGGGAACTCATGGCCTTTTTAACAAAATGGGATCCTTCATCACTGATAAGTGCCCTGGGAGTTCCAAATCTTGTAAATATATTCTTGTGCATAAATTTTAAAACAGACTTTGCATCACATGTCACCCAAGCAATGACTTCCACCCATTTAGAGACATAGTCTACAACCAGAAGGATGTAGAGGTTACCATTTGATACGGGGAAAGGTCCCATAAAGTCTATTCCCCAGACATTAAAGAGCTCTACTTCAAGGATAAAATTTAGAGGCATTTCTGACTTATTTGAGATGTTTCCTACCCTTTGGCATTTGTCACAGTTCTTCACATATGAGTGTGAATCTTGGAAGACCATTCGCCAATAATAGCCACTTTGAAAAATTTTGGCTGCAGTTCACTGTCCTCCAAAATGTCTACCATAAGGAGCAGAGTGACAATGCTCCAGCACTATCGATGCTTCAGCACTATTGATGCTTCAGCACTATCAACACATCTCCGCATAATTTGGTCTTTGTATAGCTTGTACAGATAAGGGTCATTTCAGTAGTAAAACTTACTGTCATGAATGAACTGTTTTAGTTGTTGCTTCCTCATGTCTAGTGTTAAAATTCCACTAGCCACATAGTTGGCCATGTTAGCAAACCATGGTTCCAAGTCTTTCTTATTTTCTATCACCACTAACAGCTGTTCATCAGGGAATGCATCTCGTATAGCAGTCTGCCCTTCCACTGTTCCCTCAAGCTCTACCCTTGATAAATGGTCTGCAACTTGGTTCTCCAAACCTTTCTTATCTCTGATCTCCAATTTGAATTCCTACAGAAGCAACACCCATCTAATTAGCCTTGGCTTGGCATCTTGGCTAACAAATACTTGATGCTACGTGGTATGTGTATACAACTACCTTCATTCTAATAAGGTAAGCTCTGAATTTTTCAAACGCAAAGACCACTGCTAGCAGCTTTTTCTCAATGGTAGTGTAATTGAGTTGATCTTCCACCAATGTTCTGCTGGCATAATAAATTGGGTGAATCAGCTTCTCTTTCCTTTGTCCTACTACAGATCCTACCGGATAATCACTAGCATCACACATGACCTTGAAAGGTTCATTCCAATTTGGGGCTGTCATGATGGGAGTCTAGATAGGAGCTGCTTTTAAAGTAGTGAAAGCCTGCAAATAATTAGAAGAAAAGTCAAAATTCGTTCATTTTCTAATAGAGAGCATACAGGTTTAGAAAATTTTGAGAAGTCCTTGATGAATCTCCTGTAAAACCCAGCATGCCCAAGGAAACTTCTAACTCCTCTGACTAAGGTGGGCGATGGCAGCTTCTCTATTATTTTAATCTTGGCTCTGTCCACTTCTATTCCCTTCTTGGATATTTTGTGGCCCAACACTATTACTTACTTCACCATAAAGCGGCATTTTTTCCAGTTGAGCACCAAATTGGTATCCTCGCACCTCTTCAACACTTGCTCCAAATTGCTCAAACATTCGCTAAAGTCTCTTCCAAAGACTGAGAAATCGTCCATGAAGACCTCAACCACACTTTCTATTAAGTCCGAGAAGATTGTCATCATACATCTCTGGAATGTTGCTGGAGCATTGCACAATCCAAAGGGCATCCTCCTAAATGCAAACGTACCATATGGGTAAGTGAATGTAGTCTTTTGCTGGTCTTGAGTGGCTATGGTAATTTGGTTGTAACCACTGTATCCGTCCAAGAAACAATATTATTCTTGTCCAGCCAAACGATCTAACATCTAATCAATGAATGGTAGTGAGAAGTGGTCCTTCTTGGTTGCCTTGTTCATATTTCTATAATCCATACAAATGTGCCAACATGTTGTGGTCCTTTGTGGGAATCAGCTCGTTGTTGTCATTTGGCACCACTGTAATCCTTCATTTCTTGGATACACATTGGACTGGGCTGACCCAATCACTGTTTGCTATTGGGTAAATTAACCCAGTATCAAGCCACTTGAAGATTTCTTTCTTGACTACTTTCTTCATAGTAGGGTTCAGCCTTCTCTAGTGCTTAATTGAGTTCTTGCAGTCCTATTCCAGATTGATTTTATGCATGCAATAGCTTGGACTGATCCCCTTTATGTCTGCTATAGTCCAACCAACGGCCCTTTTGTGATTCTTCAGCATTTCTATCAGCTGAAACTCTTTCTCTTCAGCCAAGTCAGCTGCAATTATTATTGGCAATGTCTCAGCTTCTCCAAGATAAGTGTATTTAAGATGTGTTGGCAAAACCTTCAGCTCCAACTTGGGGGCTTTCTCCACAGATGGCTGTAATGGCGCGCTCTGTCCTTCAATTCTAGCGATTCAAATGTTTTCTTGTAGACTCTATTGGATGGGGCTTCATTTGGTTTGCCTTGGATCAAATTGGCTTCTTTTTCCTTTTCTTCGAAAATTTTGGTTACCTCCTCCTCCAGCTGGTCTAGCAGCTCTGCCGTTTACATTTCTTCACTCAGTAAATCATCTAGAAGCCTTAACAAATAACATTTTTCTACATCAGTAGGAAATTTAATGTTATTAAAAACAGAAAATGTCACCTGCTGGTCATTAACTCTCACGGTCAGCTCTCCATTATGTACATCTGTTAAGGCTCTACCCGTGGATAAGAACGGTCTTCCTAAAATAATTGGGATTTCCTTGTCAGCTTCATAGTCCAGTATGATGAAGTCTACTGGAAAGATAAATTTTTCCACCTACACCAAAACGAACTCAATCTTACCTCCAGGGTGTGTAATGGACCTATCTGCCAACTGCAAGGTAACGGTCATGGGTCTTACTTCACAATTCTCTATCTTTTGATACACCGATAGGGGCATAAGGTTGATGCTAGCTCCCAAGTCACACAGAGCATGCCCTACATTCTTTCCTCCTATAGACACAGGAATGGTGAAATTCCCTTGGTCACCCATTTTCTGAGGAAACTTTCCTATGAGGATTGCACTACATTCCTTTTTCAAAGCCACTATTTCAAATTCTCATAGTCTTCTTTTCTTTGTCAATATGTCATTGGGAAATTTAACGTAGTTTGGCATTTGCTCCAGTGCTTCCACCAAGGGTATGTTAATATGGGGCTGCTTCAGCATCTCTAAAAAACAGTAAAATGTAAGTCTGGGCTTTTCTTTTGCAATCTCTGAGGGTAAAGAGGAGGTGCTTTGTGCTCCACTGGAATTTTTACTTTCTTTTGCATTGGAGTTTCCATTGAGACTTTTTCAACTGGTCTTGTTTCTGCTGCCTTCTTTCCTGCTACCCTATTTCCTTTGTTGTCTCGTTTGCTCAGCTGATGCTCCAGCATTGTTCACTATGTTCTCTTCAATGGTCATATTCTCTACTACACTTTCAATTATCTTTTCTGTCTGTGGTTCCTCTTACTGAATTACATTATCCTCTTGCATCAGAGACGGGTATGGGTGTGGTAATGCCTTTCCACTGTGAAGAGTCAATGCTTGACATTGCTCATTCCCTTCCTTCTTAGGATTCTCAATATCACATGGTAAGCGTTGTGGCCTGTTTTTCAATTCAATAGCCATCTGTCCCAGTTGAACTTCCATATTTCTTAAAGTAGCAGCTTGGCTTTGAATCAAAGCATCATTCTTGGTCATATAATCTCTCATCAGAGCTTCCATAGAATTTGAGGGGTGTTGCGTCCACACAACTGTGTTGACAATACGTGCAAGTATACACGATTCGTCAGTTGTAGTACGGAACGAGGTCGTATCCACAAGGATTTTTTGTTGTATTTTAACGATAAAAGCAGATACCAACAAATAAAAATATACAAAGTTGAGTGTGTATATTATCTAGGAGAAAATAAAACAAAGTAATAATAAAACGACAGAAACTTGCAAGAGACAATAGTTTCAAAGCTGTCAACACAAGAAAGCAGTAGCACAGAAAGCGAGAACAGGGGAATAACAGATATGGAAAAGGCGGGGGAGATTCAGCATACTGTCACAAGTTATCAACCTACCCTTTAGCGTAGCTAACATTTATTAGTGCCCAGCTCGACTCGGTTCCCTTCCGAGACACCCCAAATATGAGAAAGTACAACATCCGTTGCTAAATACCCAAGCAATAAACCCAAGCTATAGGCATGATTAGGGGACCCCATTCCTGAGTATCCCTATAGCTATAAAAAAGCACTAATCACAAGCAAAACAAATCAGCACCCATAAGCCCTTCCAGGTCAATACAGAAGGTAGCATACACGAAACAGCGGCCAACAGTAACGCGAAGATTAAGAAATAAAATCAGATTTGCTTAAAAAGAAATGTAGCAACTAGAGGTTCGGTCTAAAGTCAGTTACAGCATGTAAATCTCCCCAAAATGGGGTTTAGCTCATAATGGGTAAAGAAAACAAAATGGAAGAAGAAGAAATACAAACCATAGCAAAAAAAATAACTAAATGACAGAGAAGAAGAAGTAGACAGCTCGTTCCWGCAGGCGAGCTTCCCCTTTCTAGCGTCAGCTCTCCTCCCGAAAATGGGTATATCTCCTACTCTTGTCTTTTCAGCTCTCAAACTTTGTCTCCCTTGGGCTTTGTGTGTTTGTCGGCTAGGGCAACATTCCTTTTAAATATCGGGTCCCATTTTTAGGGCACCCAGCTGGAGATTGTACGGACATAAGTGAATCCCGTGTTTTTTAATTAACTGTACGGACACTCATGCTCTGGCATCACTATACTCCAGCTCTTATATGCTCTGACTTGAAAATGCTTTGATTTTTCTTCTCTGGTTTAGCACTTCCTTCTCTTCTTAACTCTTTTTTAAAAACATATGCAAAAGAACCACAAATACGAGAGTTTATGCTGTTTTCGGTCAAAGTTCTCAAGACTAAGGATATTTAGCTAAAAATTTGCATTTGAACACTATTCATGCTAATTATGACCTAAATCCGACACACTTTGACATTTTAATTAACATTTTCACCAGAATAACTCTCTTTTAGAGAGTTATCAAGGGGCTAGCTACTGGCCTTGCTCATTGCTGTTGATCAGGCATCAGTAATCCTGGTTGCTTTCCATGACCACCCTGATTTCCTCCCCAGCTAAAATTTGGATATTGCCTCCACCCTGGGTTATAAGTATTTGAGTATGAGTTCTTTCTACTAGGATTGCCCAAATAATGCACTGATGCTGGGTTTCCTGGGCAAGAGTCGTACGAATGATCACCTTCACAGTAAGAACAAGAGATTACCACTACATTGCTTGATCTAGGGGTAGTAAATGATGTTGTAGCATCACTCATGTTCTTCACCATGTTGGTTAAGTTTGCAATTTGATCTTTTAGGGAGGCCATCTCATTAGTGCTCGTGGTCCCATAGTTTCCTCTATCATTTATAGCTTTGGAATCTGACCAATGGTAGTTGTTGGACGAAATTCTTTCCAATATGTCCATTACTTCTTTGTAAGATTTAGACAACAGGACTCCATTAGCAGATGCATCAACAACCATTATGGTTGCTTCGTTCAGTCCATTGTAAAATGTTTCTATTTGGATACACTTTGGCAAGCCATGGTGCGGACATCTTCTTAGCAGCTCCTTAAACCTTTCCCATGACTCACTCACGAATTCTCCTCCTATTTGTTGGAAGTTGTTGATGTCCCCTTAAATTTCGCGTTCTTGCTTGGGGGAAAGTATTTTATCAAAAATTTCTCGGCGAGGTCATTCCAAGAGGTAATGGATTCTGCTGGCATAGAGTTCAACCAGTCTCTTGCTTTGTCCCTCAATGAGTAAGGGAACAATTTTAAACACAATGCTTCTTTTGATACTCCTTGCATTTCAAAAGGATCACTCACTTCCAAGAAGTATCTTAAATGAAGATGTGGGTCTTCAAATGGGTTGCCATAAAACTGGCCCACTGTTTGAAGCATTTGGAACATAACAGGTTTTAGCTCAAATCATTCAGCTTCTACCTCTGGCCCTACTATAACTGGATGAAAACCGTGGAGTACAGGTGCAACATAAGCCCTGATAACTCTATCTCCATCGTCTACAAACAGAATGGCCTTAAGAAGAGACACAGCTGCTGGTTCAGCCATCTCTCCTCTGTTGTGTTCCTCAACTGGTGGGTTAGGGAGCCTCGGTGGGTGATCCATTGGGTTAATTTCC